AAAAAAAAAAAAAAGAAGAAGCTGGAAAACGGAATTCCTACCAAACCAAAACCAAAAGAAAAGGAATTCCATGAAAATGAGGAAAAGCCGGCGCGTGAGGGAGAAGTGGGAAAAAATTTTCCATGCAAATTTTGGTTCATCAAGCACCATTAAAGTGGGAAAATGTTTTCCATTTTCCTTGGAAAACTAAGGGTATCAAACGGACCCCTAGAGTTATCCAGTAAACGTGATGGGGGTTTAGGGTTTTAGAAAAACTGGGGTGAAGGAAATATGTCGAAGGCTGATGAAGGAAGAAAAACAAATATACATAAGCTGGCCTGAGTTTGTTTTTAAGGACAGCTTGTGATTTGGTTGAAGATTTTTTAGGTATCTCTAATAAGTGCTCTAGCAAATAACTCGCATAGATGGCTGAAATAGGTGTAAAAAAATGAAGATAATGCCAGAAATTAGAGATTTCTACTTTCATTACTTTCTGTTGAAAATCACAGTATTGACATTATTTCTCTTTGTAAAGATATCCGTGATCTAATTTTCTTTCATCGGCTGTGAATTTCAGGGCTTTGGTACATGGGGCAGTCATTTCTTCATTCTTGACAATTGCCAGCAGTATGGCAGATCAAGGTTGTGTATAAGCTGTTTGTCAAAAAATGAGCACATGCTCGCACTCCAGAACCTGCTCGTTCCACAGTTGTGCCTTGTAATGACTGATACATGCTTTCATCAATCTGGGGCTGATCTACGAGCAGAATGTCTATCGTCCAAGATTCTGTATAGCATATTATTTTCTCTGGAGTTTTTATATGTAACATGTAATTTTATAGGTTAGGTTCGATTGGATTCAGCTTCTTGAATTTGCTTCTTTGATAGGTTAGATATAGATATATGGATATGGATGTCTATAATTGTTTAAACATTTGTTGTAATGGTTTTGTGAACTCACTACTAAGTAATAAGAGTTCTTCCTTGTAGCAAGCAATGGATTTTATTGCCTTCTTCCTTTAAATATTTCAAGTCATTACTCCACTCTTATTTGCAAAACAAATAATTAAGATTGCTCGTACCTTTTTAGGAAGAATAATGTTATTTGGAATCACTTACTATCATAATCATCCTACATGTCATATATATAGTTATTAATGATTTTAAAAAAAAACTATCACATTAGTGCATCAAATCACCAATTGTCACATAGAACGATCCACAAATAGCATTACTCAAAAGGAAAATTAAAAACATTTGATACATTCTATAATGAAAATCTGTCCAAGTGATTACATGTCATACATTTTCTAGTGGTATTTGAAAATTGCATCATCAGTGGCGGATTCAGGACTCATAATCAGTGGGTGGTTAAATTAACTAAGAAAAAGTTATTGAAATATGAAATACAACCATAAAAAGTTAAAAATGTCATAAATAAATAAATTTCATTGGGCCAATAACACCATTGGCCTTCACCTCCTTCGACCACTTTGTGTCGTTATCGAGAGTCTGGCAAATCAACGTTGTGCATAAAATTAGTAGAATTCAAATGCATGCTTTGTGCAAGGAAGTTTCGCAAGGCCGAAAGTTAACTAACTAGTCTGGCTCCAGCCTTCGGACAGAGACTACTGGCTACGGATTGGTGACTAAATTTATATAACTACATTTACTCTGCTCGTCTTTGTGTTCCTGTAACAACAATCCATTGTATGGGTGTTGGTTTCTTACTCTGCAACATCTTGTTCTTAACATAGTTGTAATTTTTTAAAAATTTCAGATGACTGTCTTTCCTGTAGCCACCTGTGATTCATGCCAACTGATTCCTCTTGCTCTTATGCAGGTTTTCTTTGCACAACTGAGAGAGATGCTGGAAACAAAAATCAATGGTGTAGAAACAAAAACCAATCTGTAACTCGCTGAATCTCTAAGGACCACAAGTAACGTAAAAGAAAAACAAGCACACGGTAAATCAATGTCGGTTTTGGTCCAAAATTTAGATAGCATTATCACTTGGACTAAAAAGATTGTTAAAAAAAAATTGGAAATGGTAAAGACTTCTGGTACTCTAACGTGCACACAAAAGAGCATAGCAGTTCAAGGCAATTCGTCAGCTTCTTCACTTTCTACCAGGGATCTTTACAGCCTGCCTGTTCTTCTTCTTAGGACCGGATTTGGCAACCTTAAGGCTCCTGTTCACAACACTCAACCTTGCAAGAGCTGCTTTCTTCAGATCGGGCCTGTAATAGTTATCAGCCACCTACATTTAAAAAGATTTCAATCACCCATCACTCTCAAGTAATACAATTATAATTGAACACAATTGATGAGCAGGTAAAAAAATCAATCAGTCGGAAAATTAAACCATCACTTCACTGACATTATAAAAATAACTGGATCGGATGCACCAATATCGTCGAATGAAAGAGAGTCACTCACTAACAAGTACCCAAAGTTTAAGGCAAGTCAATACACAGCATCAGATAGGTACAGGCTATATTTGGCACAAGTCAGAAAGGAGGGATTATTGTATCCCACAACATCCATACTCACATGTATCCCACAAATACCAATCATTGTATTAGATAGTAAAGAGGGTGAGTTCATTAGGCACAGGCTTAAAATGTTAGATTAAATGGAATAAATCATGTGCTGAAAGGAAAAAAAAAACATTGGAGCTAATTTTTAAGGATCACAAACCTCATGCTTGGAATTCACATGTTCAGAACAAATTAATCAAAGTCATCTTCTCATGCCAGTTCCTAATCGGAAATAAAAAATATGGCATCTACTGAGACAGATGAGTGAACAGATACCTGGTTTGAAACAGCCTTGGCCATACGGCTAAACTGTTTCTTCATGACAGACTTGTTTAACAAACTGGCAGGCTTGTTCTGTTTCTTGGTCTTTGTTGTTGCAAGCAACACTGAATGATCTTTGCCAGGTTGAATGGTGACAGTCTTCTTGTTTGCCAACCCTATGTAACAAAACAACATTCATTATTGTGCACAGTGAATTTTCTGTATGTGTATCTGAACAATGTAAGAGCTTCTGTATTATCTCCATCTAGTTCATTAGAATGGAAAAAATATTCAAATGAACAGTAACTCCAATTTCAAAGAATATAATCAACATAGAATTTCCTGATTCATTTTCTTCCTTGAAAGAGCAAATTAAACAAGCATTAACTAACACAGGATAAAAATGCTAAAATATGTGCTGCAATATAAGGCAACAATTTTCTTCATCACCCACATTTCCTATATAATCAAACAGAACCCAGATTGAAAATTTTCTTCCTCACCAACATTGCCTCGTAAAAATTGTAATTCTATACAATAAAACGCTTCAGTTTCAAATGGTTTATTGAACAAAGAAACGGCACACCAGTAAATGCATTTTCAAAGTAACAATTTCATATATAGTAACCTCCTTAACAAACATCATATTACACCACTGTAATGTCATTTGTTAAAAACAAGTATAAGCAAAAACAGAACCAAAATGGGTATAATTTCACACATTCACAAGGCAAACAAACTGAACACGGATCTAAAATCACCATTTATACCAATTATTCAACGAAAACAGAGAAATTTCAGAACTGTAAACGGGTTTTATGAATAATAGGAAGGAATCGAGTATACTAACCAGAGTGCTTATACGAGTGGAGATTGCAGAGATTGTTAGGCTCCTTGCTGAAAACGACACCGGCAGTTCCATTTCCAAACTCCTTCACCAAAAAAGAGTTGTTTTTCTTCACGATCTCCCAAATCAACTGTCCTGGCACTGTCGCCATTTTCACCACACCCTTAAATTGACCTAAACAAAATCCAACACAGCATATCAACAAGTAGATATATAAGCATGTGGAAGTAGAAGTGAATTTACCTAAGGGAAGAGAAGATTGGGCTTGTAGGGTTTCGTTCCGACGGCTTGTGAGGAAATGAAATTAATTAGGGTTGGGCTTTAAAACCCTGGGAAGGTGATGAAATTTTAGTTACCGAAATTGCCCATAAGGTTTTAGAGAGTTTTTTTCTTTTTTTTTGGAAGCATTTTTAGAGGTTTTAGTTACAAACAATTATTTTCTAAAAAATAATAAAATTTTTAATCACCCTAATCTTTAATCTCATTTCAATATATTTAATTTTAATTTTATCTTCAAACTATTAAAAGTCTTATGACCTAAAAATTTTTTTTTTTCTTTTTTTGATAATTTTGTCCAAGCTCTAATACGTTGGGTCCCAAACCTTTAAAGGTAGTAACAATGTGAGATATCAAGCATTTGATTATTAGAACTTGAAGTTCCAAATCTTTCAAATGTCTATGGGTCCCCAACCTTTCTATTTTTATTTTTAAATTATATCCTCAATAAATTTTAATAGCACGTATCATTTCAACTTTTCAATAATTCACAAAGGAAAATGGTAATCAACACATAACGTTCATACATTTCACTGTTATTGTAAAAAACATCCTTACTTTTCAATTTTTAATATTTTCACTCTTCATTACATAAAATGTCATTTTCATCAATCTTCTTAATTAAAAATTGTGAAATGACGAATATACAATTTCGCTTAAATAAAACAAAAACAAAAAACTAATTGCAATCATAGTACCAAATTTTTTAAATAGTGTAAACTAGTTCCAAATAAATTATTAAGGAGTGATTATAACATAATGTCCATACCTTTCATTTTATGGCATTTTCACCATAAATTATACTTTTAATTGTGCATGTCATTATTTCTATCCATTTTCATCGGATTTCTAAATAAAAAACTGTGAAATGACAAATATACTCTCCTATTTAAATAAAAAAAATTTAAAAATTATTTTTTAAATTTTTAATAATTTATTTGGCACTCATTTGCACATATTTTTTTAAGAAAATAATTTTTAGTTTTTTAATAATTTATTTGGGACTTGTTTACACTTTCAAAAAAATTTATAATTTTTTCACAATTTATTTGGCACTCGTTTGCACATTTTTTTTAAAAATAAATTAATTTCTAATTTTATAATAACTTATTTGGGATTCGTTTACACTTTTGAAAAAAAATTGAGATTACGGTTGCAATTATTTCTTTATTTTTTTATTTAAATAGAAAAGTATATTCGTCATTTCGCAGCTTTTTATAGAGAAAATAGATATGAATTATTGTTTGTACAATCAAAGGTGCGATTAGGGTGAAAATGCAAAAAAAAAAAAAAGTGAGGACGTTTTCCATAATAATAGTGAAATGTAGGACATTATGTGCTAAATACCATTTTAATAATTTATTTGGGACTCATTTACACTTTTTTTAAAAATTTGGGAATGGACGCAATGAGTTCTTTCTTTTTCTTTTTCTTTTATTCAAACAGAAGAGTATATTCGTCATTTCACTGCTTTTAATTGAAAAAATAGATGAAAACGACTTTTTGCGCAATGAAATGTGAAAATAAAGGTGAAAATGACCCAAAAAAAAAGTGAAAGGTAAAATTTTTTTTCAAAATAATAGTGAAAGGTAAGAACGTTATGTGATAATTACTCCAATAAAAATGTCATTTGTACACTATTTTCTTGACATGATTATTGACATTGTAAGTGTTAGGAAGTGTTGATTGGGTGAAAAAAATTGTGAAAAACTCAAATTGTGCAATATGTTACCAAGTGACTGTAAAAAAATGATATAAAAAATGACGTACGTTTAGCATGATTGTTCACACAAATAGTCATCACTCACAAAAATTCATCAAAGTTTTTCAATAAAGTTGTGAAAGAGAGACAGTTTTGTCCACAACTTTAAATGCACAAAGGGTAAATTTTCGCCAACCTTTCCGTTTTATAGGAAATCACCTGTTCCTGCTTTTTACTTGGAACATTGTTAGACTAAGCCTAAATGTTTACTTATAATTAAACAAAATATATGACTTTCTTACCATTCAAAGTTGAAAAAGTTAATTGATTTTATCATGTTATTTGGCCTGACTCTCGGATCATTTCGAAGAGGATGCTTATGCTCAACTAATGTTACAATATATACACCACCAAAGCAGACTACTTTCAAAGGACTCTAAAAATTCTATCACGTCATTGAAATATCACAGCATAATTATTGTACAGAAGATTTCTAACTTCAGTCAGAATTTATAGTGCTGGTAAATTGAGCAAACTTCAAAGAAAAATGCTGAAAAACCCGGCTGCCTACATAAATTAAAACTAAATAGAAGATAATTTTCCACAAACGCACAACTCTTCAATCCTGAAAATGAACTTCATATGTTGCTCGTTGAAGTAAGACGGGGTGCTGGTCCCAAGGCGGCATTGATCCTACTGAACACTACGTTTAAGGGAACACAAGCTACAGCCGGGCCACGGAGTTTTTCGACCACCAGTTTCTTCTCTACTTCACTTCGTTTTTGGGAACCAGTTAGCGAAGACAACATCCTGATCTTTTTCGACAAGAGTCCATTCCTCCTAGATTTTTGCATTTTGGGTGAATTGCGCGAATGCTTGGACGAAATCCTCCCACCTGAACTTGATCTATTTGCACCCTGATCACAGTCTAACTCTGAACTGCTGCTATAGCACTCAGATCCACTAATCAGATGATCAAAAAAGCCATCTTCTAAAACCTCAGTTGTAAGTGGATGACCGATGATGGGTCGACCATTTAACTTGCTCATGAGAGAGATATATGGGACGTGCTGAGGACGATAGCTAGCGTTCACTTCCAACGTAACATCATACAAGACAGAACCCACATTATGGTGTCTAAGAGAAAAATCTGATGAATCGTATTTCGGGTTAACTGTAAAACGAGAGTGTCGATATGGTAGTACCCTCTGAGGTACCTGCAGTTCAGATGCTGTGTGAGGAACATTCCTGCTCCAACCGGGGAACTCATCAACCTTAATTTCCGCAATTGGTCTCGACTTTAAACTATAACCACAGACGTCAGATGGGAGGGATCCCCCAACACAGTTAAAATCAACATTCCGACCAACTACACATGTCGCAGATCCATCATTCACGTCCACTTTTCTTGACCTAGCATTCCTCTTCCCTTTCAACTGCCACTCTGAAGTACCTTGATCTATCCTCTGGCCCATATTATGAATATCAGCAGTACCTGAAGAGGTAGAGGCAGACTCGTTAAGCTCTTCATTCCCAAGAGAGAGAGTTTCAACGAGACTGCTTTGGCTAGATTGTGCTACAGCACCAATATGTGCCTTTTGAGATGCACAGGAAATGCTCGAGGATAAAACTGTTTGAAGAAAATTAGATATTAGCATTGGAATCATAATCCAAGTGATAATATAATCACAAGAAGAAATCTATTTAGGCAGATCAGGCCCATGAAGCAACTCTTGAAGAAGAATGTCATAATCTTTCTACATTAGTAATCAATTCACACGGGAAAAAGAGAGCAAATATTAATAATAATATTAAGCAGTGTGAAACAATGAATGGAGGGTAAACAGTAGGAAATTACAAAATGGTAACACGAAAAACATGAATGCATAATGGCATCATATTATATATCTATGCCTACTTTTTTGGCAGACAGTGGTAAAACTACAAGCTAATTCCCTTCAAACACTATGTAACTTGTTAGAAAGAACGAGATACATGATAGTCGAAACATTAGCATCATCGTCTATGGATAAAACATCTGATGCATAGACAAGAGGAACAAGAAAAACACACAATAAATTACCCATATTTGTGGAAAACTACAATTACCAAATGGCAATTTTTATTTTTTTTAATAAATTTCATAAATACATTATCATCAGTAACCACATCTAGGATTCCTGGATGTGAAACTCAAACAACTAAAACATTCCTCACTGTTCGATTTTAGTGTCGTAATGCATATATAAATACATATTTGGAAAGATACGCACAGCATAATTAACAGTATAAACACATAATGAAACTAATAGTTAAAACATAAGCACCCAATTGATACCTGCAGAGTGCTTTTCTTCCACAACAAGGGGCACATCAAACAGTGTTTCAAATAAATCACCATCAGGCAACCCCAGCTCACTGGAAATTTCATTCTCCTGCTTTGATTTAACCATGGAACTATCGCTAGCATGCCTGGATGGATTAGTTGACTCATTCTCACAAGAAACTCCAGTTGTATCTGAGTTATTATTAATTGCCATTGAATTGTTTTTCTTTGATTCATTTGATTCTAATTCAGAAACCTTACTGTCTGATGCTCCTGGGAGAGACGATCCGGATGGACTAACAAGTTGTTCAGACACAATAGGAACAGACACCATTGTCGTATTCTCCAAAACCTTTGACAAAGTACGGCGACGATTTTTCCTTTTCAAGAACTCATGAACATGTGCCGTCTGCGATCGCTTCCGCTTCAATGATGACACGACCCCCATTCCCAAATCCTCAAGTCCTCTCATTCGTTTTATTCCTTCAGTTCCATCATCCTCCGAATCATTTGGCGTTCTTCGTCGCCTAGATTGATCCTTAGCTGGATCTAAATGGCTCAGATTCTCAAACGATACCCCAGACTGTGATAATTCCGGTGCTGAATCTGAATCATCTTCAGAACAACTTAAATCTTCATCAATACCTTCCGTTTCTTTGCTAGGATTAAATGAAGTAGGTGATTGATCAACAACACGATCCTCCTCACCTTGCTTATCCCTTCCAGACATGAAGTCCAGGTGGTCTTTTCTTTCAAGCTCAAGCGCATGAAGAATAGCATCTTCTCTCCTAGCATATTTCACTGCCTTCTTGGAGGAGTTAGATGCTGTAGCTTTAGCTTTTTCAATGCATTCATCATACTCACCACATCGAAAAGCTTTCACTCGTTTTGATTTCTCAAGATTATACCAGTCCCTGAAAACAGATTGGCAAGAATTTTCCAATCTTTTATTATCAGTAAAAAGCAATGAAACGAATTTAACATATTGTGAGAAGGATAAATCAATAATTTCAAAAATAAAGAAAGACGTCAACATTTGAGAAAAAGAAACAACCCCTCAGATTCAATCCCCAAAGATAACAATGCATCTGGGAACACCAACTACAAATAAACAAAAATAAAGGTAATTACTGACTCCCAGCGAACATAAATTAGGCTATAGTTATGCAATTTAAGATTTTAACTTGTCATTGGAAGGCCAATGTCTCACGTCAAACTTGAAGCAAAATAGATATTGCAATACAATAAAGAATACTTCCATCAAACTGAACTTCACGAGCATTTATGCAATCCATTTCTCAGAGGAAACATTTAAATATGGTACAGACATAATCCTCTTTTCAATCTATGAAGAGTAGAGTTGGACGCAACGTCATATTTCTAGTGGAGACGATAGAATCCTAAGCATTGATAGAACTAAGCATCGAGATTGCCTCAACAACTAAATTGGTTGTTGAAAAAGCCATCATGGAGAATTCCAAAACATAAATAAAAACTTCATGACCACGAGCATGTTTAGGCTAAGCTTTATGAGTAAGTTTACTTATAAGTAAATAAGTTTCAAAATAACAATTATTTGATTGCTTAAAGTGATACAAGTAAGTTGCTTAGTTTCACAACAAGGGAAGTGTTATTTTTAAATAAGTAGCACTTTATATACATAAAAGTAAGAAAACAAAAAGATATCCAAACCAAAACAAACTTTATTTTTTTTTCTTAAGCTTAGCCACACATGCTTTGCTGAATAACTCGATAAAGATTTCAGCTTTGTGCAACTCCAAGAGGGTCATGCAGTAAATTAATAATGATTCTATCTTTCAAGGTAAAAAATGGTTATAGGAAAACCCAGAGAAAATTATACAACCAATATTCACAACTGTCTACAAAGATTTTGGATTTGTTCCTAATGATCAAAATATATCTGGTCTTTTTTCCACTTTTCCAGTCATTCTCGATACAGTTTTCACTTGAAA